GAAGAGCGCAATGATGGTGCCAACTTGGGCCAGTGAAGCAACGTCCTCCACAACTAGACTGAAAAACAAAATGACAGCAACTTGTCTGTTTCCCTTTCCCCAAGTCCCCAGTGCTGTTCCCATCCCCCCAATTCCCCAATAAAAATCTTAAAAAAAAAATTTAAAGTAACAATGAAATTTCCTCTCCCAAGGGCACTTCAGGGGTGGGGGTTTGAGGTCTGAGGGGAGACCTGCTGGGGCACTCCTGGGAGAGGTGAGCCAGGCCTAAAACAAGACCAAGGCTGAGTCCTGAGAAGGGGACCCCCTGGGCCCTGAGAGTGAGCAGATCACCCGTGTTTTCTGGATTGTAATTCCCACAGCCTGCTCCAAAGCCTTCGGGAACGCCGTCCAGTCTATGGGTAACTGGGAGTACCCAGCGGCGTGCTGCTAAACGCTTCACAACTGGGAAGGAAGAAGGAACCCTAGTTTGTCGTGTTTGCCAACTTCCTGGGTGTAAATACTCCCACCATGGTTGATAAAAGCGACTACGATCACCGAATTCCTCAACTGTAACCATCGGCTCTCATAGGCTGGTGGAGGCCAGCTCCAGCAGTGGACGATGTACTTGTGTTGCACTTGGGTAAACTGCAGGGGGAGGTGGCGGCGGCAGTCTGGGGACACCCGTTCTAAGAGGACCAAAGGGGCCCCAGCTCTGGAAACATGTGAGAGTTCCCCAGGAGTTCCCAGTCACCCCTGGAGTGGGGAGCCCATAACAGATTCGTCAAGTGCGGGTGGGAACTCTGGTGACTGGGAAGTGTGCGTGCCACGTGCTCCACCCCATGTGGCTGGCACGGCTGTTGGAAAGTGCCTGGCATGACCCTGACCCTAGATGTCTCCAGTCCATGCTCACTGCCTGAATCATGGGCAGGTTGGTGAAAACCACCTGAGAACTTGCATACAGGGACACCTGGAGTCATGTGGGAATAGCGGGGCCAGAACAGGCATCCTCGGGGAGCCCAACGTGATCATTAGAGAGTTTGTCCCGGGGTGAGCTCCTCCAGGCCCGTGTGTGTCAACACAGATGGTGAAACACGGGTAACCGAGGCCAGACACTGCCACCACTTCGGTCACTTCCCTTCACCATATTCATGAACTAGGCAAAGTGAAAACAGATGGACTGAGACGTTGAGAGACCTGAGAGAGCAAAGCCATTCATTTAATGAAGTGATCTCATCTCCTCCTTCCGGTGCTTTGCAGTGGGAGAAATCTGCAGTGGTCACCTCGAGGGTGCAAGAAATGGTGTGTGACTGTTTTCTTTAATCAGATTCAGGCTCAGCCTTGTTTGGCGCTGGGGCTCCCTCCTTGCTGCCTCTGTGCCCAAGGTCAGGGGAAGAAACCAGTAATCCTTGCAAAGTGACACATTCAGGGAGTCTGTGGTCTGCACTGGACCCTGGATGTCCAGCAGCTCTGCAGCATCTGTGCTAGGTTCAGGCTCAGGCTCTGCTGAGATGAGGAGCCCTGGTGTCGGCCCCCCACTCCCCACAACCCCCACCCCTAGGACACCTCAAGGGAGCAGAACTCAAGGAGCCCCCATCTGCTCCTTCCTGCTTTGGGGGAATTTCCCTCCTTTTGCTGTTTCTGTCTCTGCCCCTCCAAGGCACAGTCCTCTCTCCTCCACTCTGGTCATCCAACACCATCTGCTTGGTGGGCGAAGACTTCTCCAGGACCAGGAGGAGAGAGAGAGGGCGGTCTTCACAGCTTCTGCCTTCAGCCAAGACAAACAAACACATTTTTGCCCTCCAATGAGGGAGCACAAAATAGAGAACCAAACCCATTCGGTCCAGACAGTCTGATTCCTCGACTGCAATGAAAACAACTCACCATTTAATATCACAGTTCATTATCCTGTCGTGTGTTGTTGGGAAAAGAAACACAGACGTTAGAAGGTGTGGAGAGGGGCGAGGGGACTCCATCTATGGACCTGAGAAGCGAGCGGCTGTGGTGACCACAGGTGCAGATCCCTCGTGCCAGTGATGGCTGAGAAATGCAGCTGGAGTTGGGAGAGGCAGTTAGTTAACAAAGGACCAGAGGCTCTGCCAGGGAGGCTGTCGCTGCATCTTCCTATCTGAGATTTGCAGCGTCAGCTTTCCAGAGGTTGATTTCCTCCTCTAAGGGTACACAGTCTGAACGGCCAGGACCACCCGTGACGTGACCATCTTTCCTTTCCTCCCTCGCACCCCTCCCCCATCACCCCCACCCTGCCTCCTTCCCCGGTCTCCTCTCCAGGACACTCTGCGCCCTCCTCTTCCATCCCACCCTGACACCCCTCCCTGGCCCTTGATCTGCACGCTCAACCCCATCCTCTCAAGAACCCCAGTGGCAGATGTCATCTTGAACCCCACGCCCGCGAGCCAGGACTCCTTAGTCCTGCTCCTCAGCTAGAGGAAGTCATGGCACTCTAGATTTCCTCAGAGTGACCTCCATGGCTGGGTCCCCAAGGCCCCCATTTCTGCCGAGACAGCCCTGGACACAAATGTGGAAAATAATCGGCCCCCCCAAAGCACCTCTCCAGGCCCAGGTGAGCTCTGGTCAGCTCATCGAGATGCTGGGGCCGTGCCTCAGACTGAGGCGACGATCATAATCACAACTGCGAGAGACTGAGTGGCGTGTGCTAACGAGCTCGTTGATGGTCCACGGCCACTCTGAGCGTGGGGGCATCCCCGCCTGACAGCTGAGGAAACTCACACACAGAGAAACCACTTACCCAAGTTTGCACACTTCATCAGCCTTCGAGGAGGGAAAGCCTCATGTGTCAAACGCCCTTTTGTGTTCCAACTGTGTTATGGGATCAGAGGGACGAAATATCACCCCATATCCATGAGTGATTAGCCTGGATTCATTTAGCAGATTACGCCTGCTCAGACAGGAGGGAGCAGATAGAACTCTGAACAAATAAATTTTGAGGGCAAGAAAGCAATTGAAAAGGACTAAACTATGGGGAACAGCCTGGGAAGCTGGTGAATGGTGATGGGCCAGGTGGAAATTTATTAGGATGCCTTTGGAAGCTCCACTTAGAGTTTCCGAAGCACTTTCATATCCATCAGCCTGATTAATCCTGACAACTCATGGGGTGAACAGGGCAGGAACTGGCACGCGGAGGACCCTGGGCTAGGCACACAGATCACACCCACCAGCCAGGGGGGGCCAGGGGCAGGGACCAGCAGTCACAGGCCCCAAGAGAGGTATGTAATACAGCACCTGCACAGTGCATGCCGCACCTGGACGAGCTGGCACAGGTAAGCTTTGCCCTCTGTTCACTGGGGCAGCGTTTCTCACACCCAAACATGCACCAGAGGCCCTGAGGAGGGTGTCAAATTGCAGATTCTGAATTGGCAGGTGTGCGGTGCGAGCTAAGGGTCGCCAGCCAGTTCTAGAAAGCTCTCAGGTGATGCTGATACTGCTCATCTATGACCAGGCCTTAAGTAGCAGGGTCTGGAGGTTGTTCCCGTCCAGGGGAGGCTAAGCTGCCAGGCTCAGCAGACCTGGGCAGCTCCAGCTCCTCAGAGTCCCCTCCTGGGCTCAGAAGGGGCTGCAGATCCCTGAGGCCCTTGTGGCCTCTGAAGGGGACTCAAATCCTGCCAACTAGGATGCCCGCGTGCAATCGGCCCCTGCCAGGCTTGGCACTGCATTTCTGGCACCAGAGCCGTTTAGGGCACCAGAGGGATGGAGGAAAGTAATATCCTCACAGCCTGGAGGGTGTAAATAATGAAAGTCAGATCCATAAGTAATTACTTTTTAATTAATTAGGAATGATGAATAGCGAAGACCTGGCGACTCCGGGCGGAGTGGTGTTAACTGTAATAGCCTTGTTCCTTTTGCAGCTGAAATTGATTTGCTGGGGGAGGAACCAGAGGGGAGGGGGGCATCCTGGGTTCCGGGGGACAGAGGAGGGCAAGGCAAGAAGCAGGGACAGCCTCTTCCCACGATGGCACCCAGGGTTTCTCTACACCCCACTGAAGTGTCTCATCCCTGGGGAAGGGACCTGCAGACAAAAAGGCCATACTTCTCACGTCCAAACCCTTTGCAGACTTACCTAATTAATCTTCACACGCTTCCTGGGGAGGGAGCCCAGTGCTCTTTCCTGTCTGCTCAGCGGGAGCAAAGCTGCTGTCCAGGGAGAGACTTGCTCAGTCCCAGAGCCCCTGAGGGCTGCTTCTTGGTGGGGGAGCCCCTTCCCAAAGGCAGTCCCGGGTCCAGGAAACAATCAGCAGGCTGGGAGGTGAGAGCGGCCAGGTGGCCCCCCTACAATGGCTTAGCAGGAGGACAGAGGGGTCCTGGTGGACCACATCCTGCTGCAGGTTTTCCTGTCACCCAGAGCCCAGAGCATAGCAGACCCTCAGCCCTGCCCCCACCTAGCCATGAACTAAACCAGAAAGCAGGGCCCGTCTGTGTCACCACCCCCACCCTCTGCTTCTGGGAGGAATGACATCGCTCAAAGGTGTGCAAGGCAGACCCCTAAGCATTCCGGCTCCTCGGTTTGAAAAGGAGGCAGCGTCAGGTTGTCACAACATGAACACAGCAGGCCTGACCCTTCCCCTCACTCAGTGGACACACCCTCTCCCCCAGCCTCTGAAGACAGTGGTGGGGGGTGCTCCCCTTCCTGTAGTTCAACCAGGATGAGCAAGCTAGGGAGGAAGGACAGGTGAAAAGGTGAGGGGTTAAGATTTCCTTAAACCTTTGAAGAAGGGACGGGGCTGGTTGAGGCGAGTGAGGCACTAACCTCCAGCACGCAACTGAAGGGGGCACCCCCGAAACCTCAGTCCGTTTCCTGGCCCTGTCTCCCGAGAGGAGAGATGGCCGAGGGCCTCACTCAGACACAGCATCACGGCACAGGTAGGGTGCTAGAAGACGTGTGGCCTCACAGGTATGGGGGGTAGCTAAGTTTTAAGCGGCTTCGAGGAAGGAAAGAGAAGCAGTGGGATAAGAAGGGAAGCCGGGAAAAGGAAAGGAACGCGGACTCACCTTATTCTACTTCGGACCTGCTCTGCCAGGCCAGGTTCTTTGCACAGAAGGAAAGTATCGACGTCCCACTAACAGGCGCTGAAACAGAGGAAGGCTCGGTCTCCCCACCTGTGTCGAATGGCCTGAGCTGAAAATCCACAGTGAACAAAATAGCCAAGTGTTAAATAAAGACCAGATTCCACTCTACACTTAGCTTCACTCTCCTCACCCTAATCCCGACCCTGTTGGATCCTGTTTTTATTTGCCATTTGGATAACTCTTCCATCGATATTTTGAACTTTTATTTTTTTAAATCGTGCGTTAGAATACCATCTATCTTGATGACTGACTTTCTGCCCCCGCTCTCTTAAACCTGGCGCCCAAGGGGAACGCCTTCTTTCTCTCCCTAGTCTCAGTTCTGCTTGGAAGCCATACGTAAACAAAGAGCATTGGTTATTTGGACACAAAATCGGACACAAAACCAGGTCCAGTTTTACCTCTACTCCCAGCCAAGCGTCAGTGTCCTTCTCTATAAAAATGGGCTTCTCATGCCTCTGCAGAAAGAGGGTGAGACAGGTAACACGATCACCCCTAGAAAGTGTCCAGCAGGCGGCAGAGCCTCAAGAAATGGCAGCTTCCTCTCCTCTCCGCCTCTTCCCTAGCCGCGGCCCTGGACTCAAAGGCACTGGGAGCCACGGGCCCACAGAGCCCATCGACACTGGTGGGGGGCCCGCCAACCTTTCCAAAGTCGCTTCCAGCTCTTCCTTTGGCAAGTGGAGACATGAACTGCAGATTCAGTGTAAAAAGGAAAAACCAATAATTGCAGTGGTGTCAAACCAATTTGTTTGTGTTAATTGCAGCCAATTAAACTTTTCTTTTTTTTTTTTTAAGTTCCCCCAGGTCAGGCTATCTTAGGGAAGTTGGTTTCTGGCCAGATGGTAAGGAACGCCTTTATCTACCCTCACATGAGGTATAGGAAGAAACATGAATATCAAAGGCACTCCAAAATGATGAACAGATGGACAAAGGGCCAGGAAGAACGGGCCAGATGGAAATGGAGGATGAGCATGACAGCCTGACTACCCAGCCCCTGTGAGGAGCATATGAACGAGAGAGAAGAAAGACCTCGGCCGGCCTAGACTGGCTACTCAATGTGTGGTCCATGGACCAACTGCCTGGGCGTCACCTGGGAGCTGGTTAGAAGCACAGCATCTTGGACCCTACCTCAGACCTGCTGAGTCAGAATTTGCATTTGAACACCACCAACCTCCCCCATTTGTACATACAGTACAATTTGCTAGACACCACCCTGAGATCCGCCCATTCTGGATATAAGCCCAAGCACCAAATAGAGGCTCCTTATAGCGTGGAGCCTCCTCTGAATCACCCCATCCCTGTCCAGAGGCCCTGGCCACTCACTAAGAAAGGTCCTCTCTGTGGTTCCACAATCTCTGACTCAACTCCAATTCTCCTGCAGATCAGATCTCCACCGGCTCTGCCCTGCTGGGGTTCCAAGTCCTGTGTCTGCTTGGATTCAGCCAATGGGAGACCCCTGCTGGAGGTGGGGGGTGGGAAGAAAGACGAGCAGGCGTATTTATTCCCTGTGTGTGTGTGTGTGTGTGTGTGTGTGTGTGTGTGTGTGCGCGCGCGCGCTCTCTCTCTCTCTCTGCAGGGCTGCAATTTGGCAGTGACTTTGTTCCAGTCCTCATGGCTGCATCTGCCAGGCACCCTGTCCCGAAGCTATAGCTTGTGCTGGCGTCCAGTGATGGTGCGCCCTCCTTTTGCAAGCCCTTCAGGCCTACAGGTGGTAACAGCTTCCTGGCTCCTCCCTGGATGCTTCGCTATTCCTTGTTTGTTTGTTTCCTTTAATCCTGTTGCTTTAATTATTTTAAAAAGTATCATTTAGATATAGTAAGGCCAACAGATCCAGAGACAACTGCCATGGAAACGACAGTTGATTACGCTTGCTGAGAGAGAGCTCCACAGCGTGTCAGAGGAGGCCCCATGGAGAAGCACCGGGGTCGGTCACAGGCAGAGCGGGAAGGGAGCATTGTGGGACAGAATGGCTAGTCTGGGTAATGCCAGTGGACTCCGGGGCTATGCCAAGCTGTCTGGCCTCTGGCACTGGAGTGGGTGGAGCAGGTGTGTAGTGGCCTAGAGTGTGAGAGCCCAATAAGAGAGGTGGTAGGGAGTGTGGGCTCCGGATTGGTTGGTTTTATTTGAAAATCATACGTCTGGGGTGGAGGACTCTTCCCCCAGGAGAGAGGGTGGGACAGGAGGCGAAGGCCAGGTGACTCGGGTCTACTGAGCCTAGAACACGATGCGTCCAGCCGATGCATGCAGGGCAGGTAGTAAAGCATTCTGTAAACATTAAAGGTTTACAGAAGCCAGGGACATGGCTGACACGCTGACCTCTACCTCCGAAACAGTCCTTCCCTACACTCTTTTCAATTCACCCTTTGAAATGTGCCAGCTGCTTCCGGCAGGGCCCTGATTACATCATCTTCTACGATTCTGTTCTCTCCAACCCATGAGGACACCTGGGTTCTCACCTGGACCCTCCGGGCCCTTCCCTCATTAACTAAACCTGTAACAGAACCAGAGTCTCTTTAGAAGATGGTCATTTTCATAGGCAATTCCTGCTCCCAATAGGACACATAGAAAGGTTTATATGCAGTTATCCCTGGGAAAAGCAGGAGTGTGGGCTTCTTCCCAGCACAGGGTAAGAGGCACGTGGTGGGTACAGACCCCATCCCCTTTCGTCCCCTGGGAGAGCGGGGTCATCACCCTCCCCTTTGCCTCTCCTGCCTGCCATCCCCTCCCTGCCCTCAATGGCAGGGTCAGGAGGCAGGAATGTGCTGAGCGTGCTGCTTGGCGCTTGGAAGGTAATGATGATCAGATTTAATAATAATTAGTGACTGCACATTTTCTGCAGCAGATGAAATCATTGTACAGGAAGGCTGGTGGAAAGAGAAAGCCATGAACGCCTTTTCCTTTCATCATTAAAACAGCAAAGCTGCAGCGCTTGCCCCAAATTAATTAGCCCTGTGTCTTATTAGCACCTTTGTCTACTGGTCCTCACACAACACAAATGGGATGTAGCCAGCTGCCCTGGCCGCCGCCGCCCCAACTAAAGGAGCCTCAGGCCTGGGCAGACCAGGGAAGGGCCTTCCTGAGCACCCCACTGTGACCTGGAGGGAAGGGAGCGCATGGGGGGTTTCTAGAGATAGCTGTACCTCCAGCAGAGAAGAAGACTGAATCTCCTGGCCACAGAGCCAGCGGTAGTGATGCAGGGAATCTTGCCTGTGCAAAGAAATGCCAACTGCCAGCAAGTGGCCAGGAAGAAAGGGCGACAGCGTTTGCACCTGCAGAGGCACACGAGCTCCAAGACACGCTGTCAAGACTACCAGCTTCCGGAGCACGTGACCAGTGCAGTCCCACAGGGCTTCCCCACCTCCCTGGGGGTAATTCTCAGCCACCCGCTCTCCCACCTACTTCAGCAACTGCCGCTGCCCTTTCATCCCTGGTGCGGGCCTGGGTGGCAGGGGACCAGGGCCTAGGGTGTGTGCTCCACTCACTAAACTATGATGTGGAGCCCCCAGCACCTGTGAGTGTGTGCACTCACCCCGCAAGTATTCCCGTAACCAGGGCGTGCAACAGGACATAGCAAATACACACATCCTGACAGCTCGAGGGAGCGGGACTATGAAAGAAAGGAAACAAGTGTTTTTCTGCCTTTTGAGCAAGGAGCCCTGCATTTTTATTTTGAACTGGGCTCTACAGATTATGCACTTGGCTTACCTACTGCTCCTCAGGCAGGATTGGGGTGTTTCAGAAGGCTCCCCCAGCCCTCTGGGCAGCTGTCACTATATTCAACCTTTTAACGAACACACTGAGACCATGTGCTATGTGCAAGGGGGTCCCATGTTAGGTTGAAGATGGAAGTCACAGCTGCCTCAAAGGATGGCTCTGGGCTCAAATGCCCCTTCGGTGCAACTGAGCACACGGCTCAGAAAATCTAAAACTACAATACTTGTAAATTTAAAAATATAGCGGTAAAGAGACCCTCATGCCAGTGTTTAAAGCGCTGGGCCCTGGCTGGAATTTGCTTAGCTGAGGAGGTGGAGAGAGAGTGACAGAATGGAGGCAGTTCGGGGGCAGTTTAAACCAAGCAGGAGCCGCCGGCCTGGAACTCGAGGCTCGCTCAGGGCAGCTGCGCATGCCGGTTAATTGTGGAGGCGCTAGAGTCAGAGCTGGTTAAATTCCTGCTCCTGCTACTTACCGTGTGACTTTTATGAGTCCATCAAAGTCTCAGAGCCTCACTTTTCTCACCTGTAAAACAAGCGCCCTTGACTCAAACCAAAAAACTGTGGATTATGCAACACAGGATGCCTCGCAGGTAATGGGTGTTTGCTAACTGTCTTAGTCAGTTCGGGCTGTTACAACCACATTCCATAGGCTGGGGCGGGGGTGGGGGGCCTTACAAACAACAGACATTGATTTCTCACAGTTCCGCAGGCTGGCAGTCCGAGCTCAGGTGCCAGCACGGTTGGGTTCTGGTGAGGGTCCCCTTCCAGGTTGCACATGGCCGACTTCATGCTGTATCCACACATGGCAGAAAGAAAGCAAGAGAACTGTCTGGGGTCCCTTTTATAAGGGCACTAATCCTAGTCACAAGGGCTCCACCCTCACGACTTGATGGCTTGTGAGGAATCCAAAGTTAAGTGACTTGCCCAAGGTTGGGATTCAACTACAGACAGCTGGACTTCAGAGCCCAGTCTGAACCAAAGGCACGCTCTTCCCGTCTGTGAAATGGGCCCAGCAACCTGTGCATGGGCACCACCCAGGACGTTGGCCTTTAAGTGAAATCAACAAGCATGAAAGTGATGGGAAAGGAGAGAGCAGAGGCACCATGCGGGCACAAACAACAATGTGCCAACACGGGGTGCCCGTGTGATCAGGGAGAGGACGAGAAGCAAAGACATGGGTGACAAACCTCAGCAGGCGTTCCAGGGTTGGGTTCCTAGCTTGCTCCTCTCCCACCAGCAGCTGTCACCATACTAAGTCTGGGAACCCCTCACTCCACCCCACCCCATTCCTGGGAAGGCACGGCTAGCGGACAAGAAAGGCCCTGCCTGTCCACACTGCTTGTGACAGTGACACCATTTCCTGGGAGGGGTCCAAGAGCTGCATCTCCCAGCCTCCCTGAGGCAGGGCACAGCAGAAATTAAAGCATGTGGCATCTATGCTGATGACAGTGGTCCAATGACGATGGCTCTGCCCGGCCACTGCTCTCCGTCTCTCCCAGCCCAGGAAGCTGTCCTGAGAGCTGGCTCCCTTGCGGTGGACACTGACCCTAGAAGGAACACCTTCCTTCATCTGTCCCAGGCTGGTGTAAAGTGACCGAAACCCTCTAACAAAGATAGTCCCTGGGCCTGGCTATACCCAAGTCCTAGCCAAATCTGGGAGGCCGCCCAGAAACATTTTTTAATTCTTTTGCAATCAGCATTTTCCGTTCTTCATTTGCTGGTTGAATAATGCAGCCTGTAAAAAAAGGGCCCTCAGCACAATTCTGGTGCTCGTTTACAATGGAAATTGGGAAAACGGCAAAACACATACTGCAAAATGCATTTAAAAGAAGATGATTCAATTGGATTTGGCAGCTCTGATATTCAGGACCAGAAGGAGAAAATCTGTCTATGATTTGAACATGTATAATTAAGATGAAAGCCTTAAGTACCGGGTGCATTTCTTAAGATGTCACCGGCTCTGTTGACTCCGGGCGTTCCGATCAGTTGTGCAGAGCATTTATTTCTGAAATCTGAATAGCTATGAGTGAAATGCCTTTTTTAAAACTGGCACTGTGGAGCCAAGTCAAACCCTGACACTGCACAGCTCGTCGTGGGGGGTGAAGGCAGTGAGAGCAAAGAACGCCTCGGGCCCAGCTCGAATCTTCCCCCAGGTGCCCTCCCCCTGCCACGCCCCAAACCTTGCAGGCTGAGACTCAGGCAACGTTGGATCCATTTTGGTGTGTCCTATTTTGGCTCTTCTGGTGCCAGCGGAAGTGCCAGTGCCCTGGGAACTGTTCCATCCTGAAAATAGCCCACTTTGGATGCTGGGATGATGGGCTTTCAATGAGGCAACCTGAAGTTGTGGAGAAGGCAATGCGGTAGGAGCCAGAAGACTTGGGCTCGACCTCCATCTTCACCTGTGGTTACCTGTGTGCTCTCGGGCAGGTTATTTAGCCTCTCTGTGCCTCAGCTTCCTCACCTGTAAAATGAGCTAAGTAATATTGTAGAACCTCCTGCGTTAAGAGCACTAGGACAATCAAAGGAGGTGACCTGTGGAAATCCCAGCATCCAGCACCTAAGTGGCCCTCGCTGCGTGTGAGCGACTCCTGTTCCTGTTTTCTTCAGCCCTCTCTCTCAAACCGCCAGAATTATCTCCACTCGCCCAACTCAGCTCGCTGGCGGGGCCGTTGGCCCCCAGCTTCTGATCTATGTGGAAACCAGGATGTCATGACAAACCTCACTTGCCATGCGAGATG